AGTGGAGGTGGAGGCAGCGGTTTTGGTGGTGGAATGAACATCATTAATAATGAGATTGGTGGATGGGTATAGTTGCGGGGTGGTGATGGTGTGGTGCCGATGGGGAGGTATATTTATGATTTTTTTGGGTAGATCAGGCAGATGATGGCGCGTGTGGAGAAAATTCGCACAGGCTGAACCCGTAATCGATTATATTCAATATTCGATTTAAGGTTTAATCGACTGTGTTCAGTAGTCAATTAAGGTTAATCGCTACGTTTTTCAATTTATTTTTGGATTTTTGGCTATTAATTTCATATTTTGCCACGTGTAGTCAGACTTGAGGCTAAACGGTAGTGTGTTTTTGTTTTGTCACTGTTAATCCATCATCCCAATTTGTATAAAACAATACATTTTTTGTATAATTGTTGTTTTGTAAAAAATAATTGATATCGTTTTTTTTTAGTTTTTGTTTCGCTTGGTTATTTTGTATGAATTTTTTTGTTGAATCGTGTTGGATTTCATTGACGACATTACAGTTGTTTTTATTACATTTAGTAGTTAATTTCATTATTCAACAACAACTTTAGTAATCAATTTCTTAATCGACTATGACTCAGTTCATAATCAATTAATCATCTAATTAAAGGTGAAAAAAAAGTAAAAAAAAAAGGAGAAAAAAGAATACAAAAAATTATAAGAATAAAAGAATTTTGAAAATTAATTAAAAAAACGAAAATAGGAATGAGAGTAGTTGAAAAAAGATAGTGAAAGGACGATTTAGGGATTAGAGAAAAGGTCAAAGGAGTATGGATTTGTCCAAATAGTGAAATATGAATTGTGAAATGTGTGAGGGGGTTTTCTCAAGTAGACCTATTTTTTTTCGGCTTAATCCCACTTTGCACCCTTTAAATGGAACATTTTGGCACTTTGCACCCATGAAAAAATATATAATTTTAAATACCACTAAAAATATTAAATTATCTTTATTAATTTTAAAAACTCATGTGGGGTGCATTATATGATATATTGTGTTTCGAGGGTGCAAAGTGCTATTAATTTGTTTCGAGGGTGCAAAGTGCTAAAATGGTATATTGTAAGGGTGCAAAGTGAAATTAAACCTTTTTCTTCGTCAGCGGATACATTTTATCTTCAACCAATAAACCCACGATGCGCACGTGATATTGCTGAAGCGCCCGGGCAGGTTATGATGACACTCCCCAACATTACATTTCAAATTTTAGTTCAGTCCAAGAGGGACAACCTAGTAATTTCACTATCTCAAATCAGCATGAAACAAGATAAGGAGTAGCACAGACACGTCACCGATCCATGTCGCTCTTCTCCCAAACACATCCAGCCGTTGATTAAGAACCTGTAAGAGAATCCCTGCCGTAGATTCAACCCCCTAAAACACTCAATCCTCTCTTCATTATTTTTGATATTTTCAATTCTCGATCCATCTCCGATCCCTCTGTTTAACCCCTTTTATAACCCTTCAGTTCACTCCCTTTTCATTTTCTCACTCTAGAAATTAGGGTTTTTGTTTCCCCGAATTTTAGGAGATCTTTACTTTGTGGTGATGGCAAGTGAAGAAGTGCAGTGTGATAATATTGATAATCAGGCTCAGGCGCCGCCGCCGGTCCCACCGCTCGTTTCCGGCGGCTTGCCTCCGTACCCAGAGGTAGAGGGTTTTTTTTTTGTCTCCTTTCAGTCAATTTTTGGTCTTTTTTCTTGAAAATATTTGTATAAATAATTTTGTACAGATGATTTTAGCAGCGATTGAAGCGTTGAACGAAGATCAGGGCTCAAACAAATCTTCGATCTCGAAGCAAATCGAAGATACCCACGGAGACCTGCCGCCGGCTCACTCCACTCTTCTTACCCACCACCTCAACAAGATGAAATCATCCGGTCAGCTTATTTTCTCCAAGAACTGCTACCGCAAACCCGACACCAATTCTCCGCCGCCGCGCCGCGGCCGAGGACGACCACCCAAGCCCAAAACCTCTCTGCCGTCTGCCGCCGCCGTCCTGTCCCCGCCCCGTCCACGTGGCCGTCCCCCGAAGTCCCGCGACCCAGCGGCTCCTCCGCCGCCGCCTAAACCCACGGCCGCAAGTACGAGTGATGCTCTTTCTGGGAGAAAACGCGGCCGCCCGCCCAAGGCTGCTGCTAGCGCTGGGTTGGCTGCACCTCCGCGAGCTGCTGCCGCTGGCCCGCCGCGCGGCCGTGGTAGGCCCCCTAAAGTGAAGCCTGCAATGGCTGCGGCTGTAGGAGCTTGAGATTGTAGGGATTTAGTAGTGCTAATTAATTTGATGATTATATATTTATGGATGTGTTCTTGGGTATTTAGGTTGTTTTGCAACGGCTTCTTCAAAGTGATTATGAGCTTTTTAATGTTTAAAAAAAAAACTAATTATGAAACCAAAAAAACTCATAATCACTTTGAAAAGGAGTTTGTTTGTAACTTCTAATGTAAATTTGGTCTTCGTGCTTAAATTTGTTTATTTGAATCTCTTTTGTCATTCCTTTAATGGAAACTCGCTCAATTTTTATATGGATGAATTAGAGTTAAAATTAATTTGTATTTTGAACAATAATTTGTATTATGCGTGACTACAAAATGAAAATTTCAAATTCCGCCGATTCTAAGATGTTCGGATAGATTCTCTGAGGAGGTCATTGCCCCAATTTGTCGGAGAGTTCAAAAAGAAATGGAACCTTACAAATAAGGTCGCTAGGATAATGAGATGGAATGGATTTTTGTAAGGTCATCGCCCCAATTTATGCGTGCTTTGAGCACATATTGGTCCTTCAATCCCCGTGGAGATGAGAATATGAGGTTCTTGAGAGCATTGATGCTAGGGTATCACATAAAGCCCGTCAATTTTTATCCCGCTCTTTCACAGTCGATGAGGTAACCTAGGCCATATCACAAATGCCCCCTCAAAAGTCTCGGTTCCGGATGAATTGTATCAAATTTTGGCATATTTTAGAGTCTTGGAATTTCTAAATGACCATAATCTTCCACCAAGTTTTAAATACACACAAATCGCTCTTACTCTAATGGTGAAAAACCTTGAAAAAATAACAAAAGATAGAAATTTGGTTCGAAAGTTCTGGTTAACACACCAAAAACCATGCTCAATGATCAAATATCCCTCACCCAAGCTACTTTTGTTCCAAAAATATTGATCACTAATATTGTTCCCGTAGCATTTGAGATTAACTATTTTATCAAGTGTCTAATGCTAAAACAAATTATATGGCCATGATATCGGACATTAGTAATGTCTCATATCCAAATTTTAAGTCTTAACGTGGATTGGCATCCGACTCACTTGAATCAATTTTACTACTATTTTTTTTTTGAAATGACCACCTCAACCAAAAATTTAAATTGTTAGTGAGATATATCATTTAATATTTAAATATCCAATACGATCTTTCAAGTGCAGACGAATTACAATTTAAGCCTTATACTTGGAATATTTGAAACGGGTGGCAGTGAAATTGAAACTCATGACATTTTAACATTTAAACTGACTCTGATATCATATTTAATTGGGTAAATTCCACTTTACCCCCTCGTACTCTGCCCAAGAACCACTTTACCCCCTCGTATTCTTAATTTCGTCGATTTACCCCCTTGTACTTGTACAATTTCCCAATACCACCCTCTTCGTCAACTTTTTTTTGATTTTGACTCTGACGCCATTTGGTCAGGAGTCAAAATATTGACGTAAATATTGAATTTTTTTGATTTTGACTCTCGAGATTAGAAAAGAGAAAGTTTCACACATTCATATATTTTTTTCTTTGCACTGGGTGGAATCCATCAATTTTTGGGTCTTGATTTTTATCAAGTTAGGGGTTCAATTTGGGGATATCTTGGAAGGGAAAGTGGTGGGAGAAGAAGAAATGACAATATTGACGGAGGAGAAACGACGCGTTATAGACAGTGGCAATTTTGTAATTTACAGAGTTGACCAAACGGCGTCGTCAGAGTCAAAATTGACAAAAGTTGAAGGAAAGGGCTGTATTGGGAAATTGTACAAGTACAAGGGGATAAATCGATGAAATTGAGAGTACGAGGGGGTAAAGTGTTTCTCAGGCAGAGTACGAAGGGGTAAAGTGGAATTTATCCTATTTAATTTTCAGAATATTTCTAATATCATAATTAATTAACCATTATTTCCTAATTTTGTCTCTTTTGACTTTGAGCCATTTGATCCAAAAATTGAACCGACATTGAGACGAGAACGAAGAAACAAAGCAACCATATATGAGATAGTAAATGACAATCTTACGCACCAAGAAACGACTTGGAGTAGTAACTAACAATTGGGCATAATTCCAATAAATAAATAAATAAATAAGAGATATGTAGTTTTTGTACATTCATTCAATGGGTGAAGTTTGGGAATTCGTGATTCCCATGATGAACAAATTTCAACCGAGTACATATGTAACTAAATTGGAGGGTGGAGATTTCAAATCCTTTATCAAATCCCTCCATCTAAACAAGTACAAATGATTTGTTTTTATGAATTTCAAATTCTTTATCAAATTCTTCCATCCAAATAAAGGCTCAATGGATTCCTTAGTATGGATTTGAAAAATTGCTCCCTCAATTCTATCATCCAAATGCACCCTGAATGGATTTATTCTTATTGATTTGAAATTAGTCCCTCGAATTCTTCCATCCAAATGCATCATTAGGATGTATTTGAATTCAGTGATTTAGAACGAATAAATTTGAAAATGGCTCTAAATGAAAATGATTTGGAAAACAAACTCCAAATAGGATGAATTTCAAATCCAGTACTCCATTCACTATGAAACTTAAAAATTACTTGTAATATCACTCAGTCTAAACAAGATCAATAAATTTGTTATCATAAATTAAACTTCCTCATTCAAATCCACACTTAAATATTTTATTGATAGACGAAGCTAATTTATGTAAAATTAATAGTTAAGGGAATTAAGTATATGGCCCTTTAGCAATAAATCCATTGGATGAGTAATAAATAGTGATATGTCCAACTCTTAGGGTGCATTTGGATGGAGGGATTTGGGGAGAAAATTAACGAAAGAGAGGGAGGGGGAGTACGCTTCAATTCGTCTAACTAAATACATAAATATGACTATAGTCATATTCGAATATGACTATAGTCATGTTGCTGCAACTGTACAGATTTGAAACTCTATTTTCAGATCTGGAGAAAAGAGAAGGAGAGAGAGAGAGAGAGAGAGAGAGAGAGAGATTGAAATCGAAAAATACATAAATAAAGGTAGAAAATTAACGAAAGAGAGGGAGGGGGAGTCAACAGCGATGGCGGCGGTGGTGAACGAAAGATAGAGTGAGAGAGGCGGACGGTGGTGGTGGGCAGATCTGAAAAAAAAAAAAAAAAAAACTGAGAAATCGAGAAAGATAACAAAAATAAGATAAGAAGCCTTACGTGAAAACGAAGGAGGCGGCGGCGGCACAAGCGACGACGGTGGTTTTCTACTAGAAACCAAACACTATAACCAACTCCACCTATCAATAAGGCCATACAACCCCAGAAAAACAAAGATACAAATGCTACAGCCACTTCTCAGAATTGCATGCTGATTAATAATGATTTCAGAAAAATATAAAAAAATATCATAGAGAAAGGGAAAAAAAAACCTTAAATTTCTTAGATCCCGAAACCAGATGAGAAACTATAAATCCACCATGCCCATAACGAAGCATCTGCTGCAGCTGCCAATCCGTCTGGACACCCAACACAAAACCCTCACAACCACAACTCTCCTGAAAGTAAAAAACGTGCTTATGATGCCTCTGCACCCACATTTTCACACTGCACCGATCATCCAAATGCAATTCATGAGGCGAGTTCTTTATCAGCCTCTCCATATTACGTACATCATTACGCGTCAGAAAATCATCCCTGCTGTGGGGCCCGCCGTGCCTCTGCACTTCCTCCATGTGGTGCTGGACAATAGCGTCCAATGATATTCCAACGTGGAGCAGTGACATCACCTTCTGACGAAGCTCCTCAGATATTCGAGGAGCGTACATTGCTCTTGTACCCACGGATTCATGGTCGAGGATGCCATGGCATGGGGCCCCACTCTTATCCACGTGGCTTCTCTGGTTGTAGATGATGAGAGCGAGTTGTGGGCGAGTGTACAAACGTTTGACTGTGAAATGACAAATACACCCCCGCATCATGTGCCTTCTTCCGGGCCTACTTCCCTTGCCCGAAGAGGGTTTGGTGCTCGTTTTTTCTCCAATTTGGGGTTCGATGTCTCTGTAGTCTTCTGGACCATAAGAGCACCAATACCTAAATATCAAGAATTTGATTTTTTTTCTTGTGATATAACTTTTTCGATGAATTTAACAAACCCGTAATAACTAAAAAGGGCGCAGATTATAACGGGAAAATTCTAGTTCAAAGGGTCGTCTTCAAGAAAGCACGATCGAACATTATATACATACGAACTTACGAGGGGTGTGACATACAGTGTATACTCGAGATATCCATCAACTCGGTTTGTTTAGATTTCCTTCAATAAAATTTTCGATGTTTCTTGTTATACATTCCTTCAATACCTTTTTCGACGAACTTAACTAACTAGTAATCTAAAAGGCCGTAAATTCCAATGTGAAGTTATAGTGAAAAAGGGTCGTCTTCCAGAAAGCACGATCGAGCATTATACATATGCAATAAATACGGACTTACGAGGGAGTGTGACATACAGTGTATACTCGAGATATCCATCGACTCTTGGTTTGTTCAGACTTCCTTCGGGTCTTTTCCTTCTCGATTCTACACGGAAATTAGCTGGGCAATCTGCATTACCGGATTCTCCTTTCACGAAATCTTCGACTCTGGAAAACGGAATTAGGGCAATGTCATCACCCCCTTGACGACCACCTTCAACTTTGACCCAATTTATATGAGCTGCAGAAAATTCAGTGTATGGAGGATCTTGAACTGGTAGGTTTAATATATCTTCCATTCTAGCCATCTAACACAACAGAAAAGACAAAAAAAAAAAAAAAGAACGAAAAGCGCAAGTTAGCAAATTGTTGATGATAACAATTTATTTTTGAAGTATGTGAAAGGCAGCACATTAATGAAAGCCAAACAGAGTTCATTTTGCTGCTAAATTATTGATTGGACACTGAAATAAATAACACAATCGATACACACACACACACACACACACAAATATATATATATATATATATATATATATATATATATATAGCAGATAAGAGGAGCAAATTTGAATTAAAAAAAAAACAGAGAGGAGCGAAAATTTGTACCTTTGATTCATGACCCTTCATTTCTTCCCCACCCGCCACACTAGAAATTATCGGCGATGAAAGTGCAGAATTCTAAAGCTTTATTTCTATTTTGGAGTGAAAAAAGAAAAAGAAAAATAAAAATTCAATTAAAAATTCGAGGGTTTGTGAATTAAAAAAAAAAAGTAATGGAAAATGATGAAATTACAGGAACACCAAATCAAAAATTGGGCCTATAATTTTAGATGATGGGCCCTTTCTTCATGTAATGGAATGGATCTCTCATGTAATTGTTTTAGATGGGCCACCAAATATAGGCAAATATAGTATGTAGATTATATAGTCCATGATTAATATTTCATAAAATCTTACTTTTTTATTTATTTATTTATTTATTATTTTATTATAAGATATAATCTCGCAAAATACTCCCTCCGTTCCTAAATAAGTGTTCTCTTTTCACTTTTCACAAAGATTAAGAAACTCAATAAATATATCTAGATTTTAGAAAAATCATATAGAAATGACTAAAACAACCTTTATTATTTAATGATTTATAAGAGAAAAATAATGATTAGAGTTTCATTAATAAGGTTAAAACAGGAAACATGCATTTAATACAGTATTGGAAATCTAAAGTGACAGATAATTTGGAACAAAAATATTTTTAAAAAGAGACAGCTATTGTGGAACAGAGGGAGTAATGCATAAAAGGCGTATTCCTTTCTTTTCTTTGATGAATATAGGCATATTCCTTTTGACTTGAGAAGAAGAAAAAAAACATATATTATTGTAAATTTATATGATTAATTAAAGTCATGCCATAAACCGGTGTATTTGCAAGACTCAAATGTGCACAATTAGTCAATCTGAAATGCTAATTGTAGCGGGACTTTTAGTAAAATTGGCTTATTTGCAGTGGTAGTCTCATTTGTCAATTTTCTAACTTATTAAGAAAATCGAAACTCTCTCAACTAAAAGAATTCGAAAACTTAGAATTTGAAGCTCGTTCGACAAATTAAAAAACGAATAACTTCTTCGATGCCGATCCAGTTAACTTTTATGAGGTAAAAAGAAAGAAAAAAATAAAAAATTAAGGGTTAATCGTGTTGTACAGCATGAGAAGTATAAAACAAAGTAAAAATTTAAGTTACCTGTGTTGTACAGCACGGGAATCTGGTACTAGTTTTCATCTTTTTTTTTCTCTTTTTTGTTTTACTGTATTTTTTAGTATTATTAATATATTAATTATTAATTTTTATAATTTGATAGGGGTGATGATAGTGAATCCGGTGAAGAATTTGACGATGATAATGTTCCTTAAATTATCTAAAAATTTGATATTAAAGGGAAAAAAAAAAAAAAAAAAAGAAAAACCAAAATCTTTTGAAGCTCCCATTCTCTGCAGAAGAGTTTCAAAAAAAATGAACTCCCCGTTCTGTAGAGAACGAAACCCAAAAAGAAAAAAAAGAAAAAAAATCTTTTTTGAAGCCCCCCGATCTGCAGAGAACGAAAACTAGAAGATCTTCAAGTTTTCGTTCTCTGCAGAACGGGAGCTTCAAAAAAATTTGAACTCCCCGTTCTGTAGCAGAAGAAATCCCAAAAAATTTCAAAAAATGAACTCCCCGTTCTCTAGGGCACGAAAACTTGAAGATTCTTCAAGCAATCTTGCTCTAAAGAAAAATTGAAAATTTACCTAGATTTAATTCTAAACATGTGTTTGTACTTTGTACCATAATCAAACCTCGTTTGCTACGTCTTCAAAGTCGAAATATTTTCCGAAATTCGAATGTCTTGAGAGAGTTTGAGAACATGAGAGAAAATTTCTAAAAGAAACAAAATTAAATAAAAAAGATTTCGTTGCATTCAGTAAAAGTCCTGCTGCAAATAGCAACACCCTGGTTGCTTGCTGCATTTAAAATTGAAGTCAAAATAAACCCCTTTACCACCTTCACCAATTCTCACCCTCAAAAGGAATTATAAAAAAAAAGTCTCTCACAAAGTTGACTTTTGAGGCGTGTATGATTAACTAGAACAATGTGATGTGATGTGATGTGTGTGTGAGAGAGAGAGAGAGAGGGGCACATTAAATTTCAATTACATTCCCAAAAAAAACAATAAGAGCATCTAATCATGTGGTTTTAAAACTATATTTGCACATAACAAAATTAAGTGGGGACATAAAAGAATATTAGAATAATTTGAGAGGCTGGAAATAAAAGATACCTTGGGCCAAATTGAGCGGCAAATGTTTCTCTCTTCTCGTAACGGCTCCTCACCAATGGTAGGGACACCTTTTCTCTCAATGGTCGTCCTTATGTTTTCAAGAAATTTCAATTTAGTCCCTGGTTCACCCCATTTTTTTTTAATTGGGTAAAAAACATAAAACTATAACTAATTAATAAGGAACTAAACGTTTAAACCAACATTTCATAATTAACTTCTCAAGAAAAAGAAAAAAAAAAGGGTAAGGTCAAATTACGAAATAATCCTTCATATTTGGGTAATTACAATCACCTCTTTCAACTATGAATCTTCTTAAACGTTCACTCTTGCTATGGTTCGCCGGCACAGAACAGTCGGCTGTCGCGGACAGTGCCATTCAAGTTCAATTGCAACGTCGCGGTTCCGTCGCGGGCGGAACAGATTTTTTTAATTAAAATGCTAAAAAATATAATTTATTTCAAATATATTTTTAATACCAACATTACAATACAATAATAGTAACATATTATGTGATGAATTAATTTCAAATTAAAATGATTATATTTAAGTAACAGAATATTGAAAGAAAAAAAAAAAGTTAAATAAAATTTTAATATTATATATATTCGAATTTTCTATATTTATTTATTATGAATCATAGTCTTCAATTTTATTTATTATTTTCTGTACAAAAAAATATATGTATTATTGCTATTTTCCTTTCGGTTAAATACATACTTATTGTTACTTTCTCCTATTAATAGGAAATTAGAGGGATTAGTGGGGTCTCATTATCAAAAAAAATTAGCTCTTAGCTCCATAAAAAAAAATAAAAAAAAATAAAACTCTTCTTTTAATTTAAACTCTTTTTTTAATTTAAAAAATAATTTACACTTTTCTTTTACAAATTATCTCGTTCCCAATTTTCTTTTTTCTTCTTTTTATTTTTTTCAATTTTTTTTCCGTCAAGGGTCTCGTTCCCAAGTTTTTTTTTTTCCGTCAAGTGTCGGACCGTTCCGGAGCTGTTCCCCGGCTACGTCTCGGCCGTCACGGTGGACCGCCGCGTCAAGGGGAGAGAACAGTTTTGTTAGGGATTCCGGAACGGCGGGCACCGTTCCTGTTTCGGCGAACCCTGACCCTTGCGGTATCATATTTACATGAATCTTCTAGATTATGTGGAATATTCTTGCACTCGTTTGACCCCATTCGAGCTCCACATTTTAAAACGAGGTGATTATAAGGTGTGTCTCTTAACTTGTAAATATCAGATTGTGGTGCATCCATAAACTGCATTTTTGCACAAAACGAGTACAAACTAGAGAACATTCCACGGAAACTAGAAGATTCTGTTGAATTTGACATCATAAAAATGAACGCGTAAGAAGATTAATAATTGAGGGGGAGTAATTGTAATTACCCAAACATGATGGGATTTTTCGTAATTTGGTATTACACTAGGGGTGGCCAAAATTTAAAAAAAAAATATATATATATATATATATATATATATATATATATATATATATATATATATATATATATATATATTTCTTTCATTCGCTATTCACTAAAATGGAACCACCGCAAATCCATAACCCGGGCGGCGAAACGCCCCGAAACCCGCCGGAAACGGGTAATCGGAGCTCCATTCCGACTCCATCACACGTGGTACAGACGGTGAAGCAAAACCTAGTCTTCAGGTCAAAATGGGCGGAGCTGAACGGCGCCATGGGAGACTTGGGCACATACATACCCATAGTTCTCGCCCTAACTCTAGCCAAAAACCTCGATCTCGGCACGACTTTGATCTTCAACGGCGTCTATAATTTCGTCACCGGCGCAATCTACGGCGTCCCCATGCCCGTCCAGCCGATGAAATCAATCGCCGCCGTCGCCATTTCGAACCCCACCTTCGGAATCCCCGAGGTCATGGCCGCCGGAATTTGCACCGGCGCAATCCTCTTCTTCCTCGGCGCCACCGGATTGATGAAGCTCGTGTACAAATTCATTCCGATCTCCGTCGTCCGCGGAATCCAGCTGGCGCAGGGTTTGTCGTTCGCCATGACTGCCGTTAAGTACATCAGAAATGTGCAGAATTTTTCGAAGTCGAAAACTGCCGGCGAACGCCCTTGGATTGGGCTTGATGGACTGCTTTTAGCCCTAATTTGTGCGTGTTTCATCGTAATCGTAAACGGCTCCGGCGAAGAAACCGACGAAGATCAGATAATCAATGATCGGAGGGCTGATACAAATAGTACGAGTAGGTGGAGAAAGTTGAGGAAAATCATTTCTTCTCTTCCGTCAGCATTTATAATCTTCTTGCTTGGAATTGTTTTAGCTTTCGTAAGAGGGCCTAATGTTGTGAAAGGGTTCGAATTCGGGCCGTCGTCTATGAAAATAATCAAGATTTCTAACCAAGCATGGAAAGACGGTTTCGTAAAGGGAACAATCCCTCAACTCCCGTTATCAATACTAAACTCGGTAATCGCGGTCTGCAAATTATCGACCGATCTTTTTCCGGATAAAGAAGTTTCTGCCACGTCGGTTTCGATCACCGTTGGACTAATGAATCTAATCGGGTGCTGGTTTGGTGCGATGCCCACTTGCCACGGGGCGGGCGGGTTGGCCGGACAGTACAAATTTGGGGGGAGGACAGGTGGCAGCGTGGCGTTGCTCGGTGTGGCAAAGTTGGTTTTGGGGTTGGTTTTGGGGAGTTCGTTGGTGAAGATTTTGGATGAGTTTCCGGTTGGTGTTTTAGGGGTTTTGTTGCTGTTTGCTGGGATTGAATTGGCTATGTGCTCGAGGGATGTGAATTCGAAGGAGGAGGCTTTTGTGATGCTTATTTGTACGGCGGTTTCGTTGGTTGGATCGAGCGCTGCTCTTGGATTTCTGTGTGGGATGGTTGTGCATTTGCTTTTGAGGTTGAGGAAAATGGGGGAAGGACAACGATCTTGTTCCACATTTTGGTTTCATCGGAATTAATTCATAAGGAGTTTTTTTTTTTTAAATCTTTAAATAAATTTCCATGCTTCTTCGATTTGTTTGTTATTGTGTTGTTTGTCGATATTCTCGAGTGTTTGTTGTTATGTCATTTTACATTGGTGTTCATGAATTGTTTGTAAGAAGAAAAAAAAAACAAGAAAATGTGTCCTTTTCTTTCTTGTTTTAAGAAATAACTCCGAAAAGTCGATGAACTTGGAGAAACCCTTTCATTTGTAATGGTACAGAAAATCAGAACAAACATTTGATGTTACATAAAGCACATGACACAGT